GGGGGGAGGGTTTTTGTACTGACAGCCCAGCTGGCTAGACTTTGACTTTTCAGTTTTAAATAAGCTTGATCAGTTGACTGTGTTTCTGGGTATTTTACTCAGTTGTTGGACACTGTGTGAGGGATCTGTGTTGACCTGGCAGCCTGCTGGACTGGTGCATGCCCCCTGCAGGCGTGACGGGCTGATCTTTTAGCCAGCGGGGGTTGTCAGGTGCCTTGTGGTCGCCGGAACTGTCTTTGAGTCAATGCGGGCATGTTTTTGCGAATTCGGTCAGACATATATGGCAAAATATGTAGCTAACATTCAACACTGTACCTTATCTGAGGAACAGAAAATGTCCAAGGACAAATATCTGTGCATATTTTAGGGCCAAAATTTAAGCTGATGTGTTTATTATCCTTCGTATGATACACTTAGACCAATCGCGCCAAGCAAAAATATTTGATGGATTATAATATTTATTTAAACTTATTGTATGTGAACATGGCTGGAAACTTATTTTCGATAACTTCAGTAACTTTATGTATCCCTTGAAGGCACTGACTACCTTGTGATGTGTCACAAGTAAAATTGAAGGGAATATTGCGCATCCCCACTGCGCACGATTTTCGCGCCCTTAGCGCGGACAAATGAGCGCATACACGTACGCAACGAAAAACGAATTCCCTCAAGCTAAGCTAGATAGCGAAATAAATGCCTGTTTTCTTTTAAACGAGCTCAGTGACCTATATTTTTTATTGCTTAATAATAGCGTACATATTATCTTCTTTAATTTAAAAAAAATTTATTAATTTTTTTATCGGACGGAAAAAAGATATAGGTGAAAGCGTGCACAAAACCGTTACTCTGAGATGTAAATTATGACTGCGAAAACAACGACTATACGAACGCTTTATGTCCACGTCATTTTAAAAGGTGTGATTTTTCCACAAATTTTATATGATATTGTTCCATATGCTCGACACTTTCTACCGGTCAAGTTTTTTCCCAAGTACTACTTTAATAAACTATGCTTCCGCTTCCAGCTACCGCAAAATGTAACGTGGACCGATTAACAACACGCGTGATTAGCCTGAGTGTAGGCATAAATAGGGTAAGATTGGCCCTCCTCAAATTCATCAATAATTCATCAAATTAAAACAAAGAAAAT